ACCGGCTATTGCAGTTAATAATACAACAGCTTCTTGCCATTTTTTGTGTTTCTTTTTATCGCTGTGTAACTGAGTTCAATTGAAAGCCTGCGTGCGCTAGTACCTCTTGCCACAAGTTCCCAGAATCCTTTGCGGTTTTACCCCTGAATGACGTCACATTTTCAATCTTTATCCTGGTGGGTCCTCTAGTCAAAATGCCCGGGCCGATTTTTTGTCCCAGTCCAGCCTGGGCTGTAGATAATATTACATCTGTGGGATGATTATTGGTAATTTTTTCTCTAATGATAAAAAATTTTATTTGTGAAGAAGTTCATGAAGTCATTACTAGTTAACGTTAAAGGGATGGTTGGCTCAAAAGAGATAATACCTTATGTCTTATAATGGTGTCTTAAAACCAGGATCATAGGCAGCCCACCTTAATAATTTTATCTCCTTTTGCATTTGCAATCATTGAGCATTTTCACCCACTGATTTACTGTTTTGGCTGTGTATTTCTCTGGCTGTGTATTTTAGGGATTTCCCCCTCTTTTCTAATCAGCCAAGTACTGATTGTAATGTGTGCTCATTGAGGATAATTCTATTGTCTTCTATTGGAATTACACCACTGCACCAAGGGTCATAGATGGGCTGCTAAAAAGTAGTCTTTTATGGGAGGGTTGCAACAGGATCGGCTTCTGATGTAAAAACTTTGAAAGCCCTTTGTAACTATAAGAAACAGCCCAAACTACATTATTGGTAAAAAGGCATTACACTGTTATTGTGACAGCCATTCTACTGTTACAGTTGCTAACCAACTGCAAATATGAAAAACAAAAGAAATGGAAGAAATAATTAAGCTACTCCTAAAAACTCTTATCATACATGGTCAGTCTATTTGCATCAAGTCAAGGCTCGGGAAAGCGAAACCACTCAATACCTTTCAAAAAAGATCTGACTACCTCTACTAAAATGTAAACATTGTCCCAAAAGAATAAAAAATCTGACAGCTGATAATGTCCATACTTCTGCTAACCCTTCTTATACACCCCTCTCTTTGGTGTCTATAGGATATGGATGTAAATGTTGCTGGTGTGGTTTATACATTTTATTTTTTAAATCCACATGGTTGCTAGAGAAGCTTACCCTGTCTTTTAATGTCTCACCTGCTCTGGGTGAATGGGGGAAAAAATACAACCCGCTGTTAGTTACGGAGAGTTATGAGCATGAAAGCTTCCTGTTCTGCAGAGTGTCAGTCTGGCTAAGCAGTTTGTTTGTGAGTCAAAGCTGTCCTTCCTTTATACAGGCCTTTATAATTAAAATACATAAAGAAAAATACACAGCAAATGAGCATTAGAAAATATATTTTCCTTTACAATATAAAGAACTAGTTTATTGGTTTGAATCATTATCCAGCAGTTCCAGCAGGAGGCAAGCTGACTAACAGTTACTGCGTAAAACCGAGGAAAGTCACTGGTGTCAAAGAAATTACAAACAGGCTGGCAGACACAACAGACAGTGCTGGGATCATAATATCAGGCTTTATTTGGACGTCAGGTTTACAGATTTGGTTCATTTAGGCTTGCGTGTTAATCAGTGTGCAATTATCTACTGAATATGCGTTTGTGTGTGTAATTTGTGTTTGAAACATGTCTACATGTTTTTATGCCCTGATCAATCTACAATTACAGCATAACATGAAGTAAAAAACACATTCAATACCAAATAAAATGGCTTTGTCCTTGTTTTTCTACTTTAGCACCTTTTAAGTAAATACTGACTTCCTGGAAAAAAGGACTGTGTGTGTGCACACGTCTGTGAGAGAGGGAGGAAAATGTGTTTCGGCAAACCAAAAATTAATACAAAATAAAGCCTACTGATAAAGTGGTACACATTCAGAAATCACGTACCTCTCCTTTGGGAGGTCTTTGGCTGAAAATATAGATTTGAGATTAAAAGAACAGCTGATACAAATGATACTGCATGTCTTTGTGTGTGTGTGTGTGTGTGTGTGTGTGTGTGTGTGTGTGTGTGTGTGTGTGTTGGTCCTGCATAGACTGCTTTTGCTTTTGGTAAATTAATTTTCTCCCATAATGACAGGATATCGTTAGCTTCATAGCATAAGTGCCTAAGTCATTTTCTGGTCAAATTGCATGTGATATTTAAAAATATGCATGTGATATTTAAAAATATGCATGTGATATTTAAAAATATGCATGTGATATTTAGAAAATTAGTTTTGTCTTGTTTTCCGAAAACACAAAAAAATGACTTAGGCACTTATGCTATGAAGCTAACGATATGTAGCCCCCTCAGTGCCTTCTATCCAGTAATGATAGTGACCACAGAGGTGTGGTCTGTGAGGGTGTGTTTACATGTACGCTGAAGGAACTGGTCCTTCTTTCCTCCCATGAATTCTCGTTCTAGCTTTACAGTTCCTTTCTAGCATATCCAGCGGATGAAGCGCTCAAAGAAGGCCGGCTTGTTCAGCATGGCGTAATCGTCTCCCCTAAAGATGGCTGACGTGTCTCCGAGCGCCACCTTCTTTAGCACCTCCTCATCAGTGTCGCTTCCCATGGCGATCACCGTGGGAACGCCTTCCGCTCTCTTCATGGCGCTCACACCTTCATCCAGCTGCTCTCTGGCTGTGATGCCATCAGTGATGAACACGAAGGCCACCTCAGCGTTGCGGCGTGACAAGCGACTGTTGCCCTACAAACACAACATAAAACAAATAATAAAGTCGCGTATCATTTGAGCATTTTTTGCTCCATACTTGCGACATTAGTGATGCCAGAAGATTGTCAGTCAATCAGTGAAAACTCCAGGGAGTCAACAAGACAACCACTAGGACTGCAAAATAAAACAACACACCAAAATGCCAAAAACTGCAGTACCTCGTCTGGCCACATGAGGCAGGCTCTAAAAGTGAGTCAATCCCCACAGACTCCCTTGTTAAAATGCTGAGCTTTACAACAGAGTTAACAATGCTACAACAAAGTAAAAAACTGTTTTGATCTCTCAAGCTGACTTCACTGACTTCATCCTTCAAAGTCTCTGTGTTTAGGTTAATTTTTAAGTAACACAACAATTTAGACATTAAGCACCTTCAGCCATTTACAGTTAGAAGCGGGTGTTGGCTAGCACACAAGCTGCGTGTCACCTCAAACAGCTGGAGGGAGTGGTCTGGACTTCTCAAATTAAAAAAAAAAAGATGTGTATATTTGTTATACCTTAAACACCAGATTGTTGACAGCATAGATGATAGCGCTGCCCAAAGCAGAGGAAGAATCCATGTAGGTGACGCCTGCTAGTGAATCGGAGATCACTGTGAGGTTATGCGTCAGTGCGAACTCCTCCCTCTGCTCCGAGCGGCTGCCGTACTGTAACAAAGCCAGGCGGGAATTCCTATCGTCATTTTCGCCGGTAGCCAGGACGAGACGGCGAGCCACATTCTCAATGAACTCTTTGGCCCTGCGGTGGTTCTCCAGCCCCATCCTCTCAGAACCATCCAGGAGGAACACCATATCCACTGGCCGCTGAACACAAGCAGCCACAGCAGGCTCTGGAACAGACACACATACATACATAGCAGGGTGTTCGGTGAGCTACAGCTGGAAAACAGATGCTCAAGAGTCAAAGCCCACAACAACAACAACAACAAAAATATATATACACATATTAACAACAACATGCTGTAATTCCATGCATGCCAGCTGCAGTCCGGCTCTTTCAGTATTTCTTTGAGTAGCCTTCCCAGATTCTGACCGGCCTTGTCAATAAAGCACTGTTTTAGTTTGCTCGTTGAGTTTATTCTCTTTAGACATTAAAATAAAAATAATATATGAATGTATCCCATTTTACAGGAAACAAAATGAACAACGTGAACAATGTTCACATCAGCAAGTTGCAGTCACAGAGCTAAAACAATAACATGACATTGGATTGAAGCCACTCTGTGGTCCTTTTCTTCAAGTCATCCTACTTTGCAAGCCAAGCCACATGCAAAAAAAATCCCCCTGAAAAACATGCACCAGTCAAGGGCACATCATACAATAGTTCCCTCACAGTCGGTGCCAATTCATTTAACCAAACATTAACATACACCATCCTCTGACTCACATACAGTATGCTGTGAATTGTGTAAAACCAGATATTTTCCACGTGTAACAGCCTTTCACCGACGTGATTCATTCACAGGGGAAAAAAACATAAAGGCTGTAACCATGGATACGTGCAAAACAGCAAAAAAAAACTGTCATCGGAGTGATTCACAGTGAAAATGAGGCTCCATCAACTGTAACCGAATAACAAGAACGGCTCTGTAGACAAATCTGCCTCCAGCATGACATTCATTTTCCATTTCAATTGAAAATGTTTTGAAATACGTGATCTGTACATATTACTAACAGACATATTCAGGATTACTGTGCTATATCCATAAATGTTTATATTTATATTTATATTCTGAGGCCAGAAGGGATCATGAATCCACATTTTGACTGAAGTCAATTCACACAAAGGGTTCTCTGAAAGCTTAGTAAAAGACCAGCTTCATATCATGCAGTTCAGCCCAGGTGTATATTTCACCTGCATAGTTTAAACAATAAAACAATGCCCACAGTTTGAATAAATTCTATTCTTTGTCCAGCAGTAAGCTTATTAGTCAATGGCATCCATAATGGCGAGGTGGCATGGTTAGCATATTAGCATTAGCAAAGTCCTATGGCTTTCGTTGGGTCCCCCATAATGTCCCCATAGACATATTTGAAGGAGTTGATGAACAGCTGGGTCCACTGCTGCCTGTCCGCTCCTTGGGTGAGTTTGGCTCTCTGGGCTGTGTACGCCATGGTCGCCACACCAATCCCATACTGTTGCTCGCTCAGGCCGTTCAGCAGGCTGGTCACACCCTCCAAAGAGGTGGGGACCAATGAGGGGCTGCCTTCTTCGGCTAGTGGCTTCCAGGGGGGTGGGGCTTGCCCCACAGAGATGCCCCCTCCTGCAACGAGTGGGCGGAATAACATTGTGGGCGTGGTCCCACAAACACGAGGCACCAACAGAGCCAACTGAGATGTCGGAGGTACACTGAGTTGCTTGAAAATTCTTAGATTGAGCCAAAAAATGTAATCGCACCAATACAAAGGAGGTGTAATGATCTCTACTGACCTACTGCTCGCACGGTTTAACAAATTGCAACCAAATCCTAATGCAGTCTAACGGGGCAGTATGCTTCAAAAAGAAGGCAAATCTATTGGTATTTAAGTTGTAAATGGCCACCACTGAAGTGAAATGCAGGGCGATTTGTATAAATAGGTAAAAGTACCTCGATGGAAGAACTTTCAATAAGGCAAAACAAAAAGTAACTTAATTTGAAGCGTAGTATAAATGTTACAGGAATAAGTGAAGCTACAACAGGACACTTAGACTTATACAAAAAATCCTACCTGATTTACAAGGCAGATCAGGGCACACGATGAAAGGATCTAAAACAAAGATAGCGAATATGTCAAACCATGAAGAACAAAACAAGATGGTTAGTCCACTACATGCTGCACATAATGAATATTTCTGTGTATTTACCTGGGCAGAGCACGGTCTCGATCTTGTCAATGAACTCCTCTGCCACTAGGTCTGCAAAGCGTCTCATTCCCATTACTTTACCATCCCTCTGGCAGGCGATGCTCTTCAGACTCTCATTCTCCTCGATCTGCTCAAACATGTCTCCGATACCAATGGCGCTCACGTCAACGTTGGGATCTCTACTCACACGCATTGGTTCACACAAACACAATCGATGAGATAAAAATGATCCTTTTCACAAAAAATGAATCTCAAACCACAGCCCCAGTAGCACCTGCAGAGGTAGGTGAGCAGATTGTCGTCATCTCTGGGGTCAAAGCGTCCATCGGTGATGACGACGACAGTGACGTTGGCTTTCGCTCTGCGGCTGTCCCTGATCAGGTTGTCGTAGGCGTACTTCAGAGCAGACGGCGTGAACGTACCTCCTGCGATCCACTCCAAACGCTTTACTGCATCCTGAGCGATGGAGACGACAGTATGAGAGTTGTTTGCCGCGTATTATGTCACATCACCACCATTATTTTTACAAAGGCGCTTCATGTCTGACTACGGCCTTGTTCTATAAAAACAATTATGGTATTATGTGCTGAGGTGAAATTATAGGCTGTAATGACACCCAATGGTTTGTTGAATCCCTTTTTTTTGTCATTTACTGCCTTGGTTTTTTTGAAATGAAACAAGCAAAAGGATGGATGTCGGTAAGAAACTAAGCATTTTACCTTAATTATAGTTATAGAGGTTACAGTAGCTTGCAGATCAGAAAGGCACTATCTCTAAATTATACCCTGTTTTATTATCTTTTTCATTCTTAGTGGAACCATAAATTACAAAATGAACACTCTGTATTATTAAATAGGACTTAAAACTAGCACATGGGACCATGAATTTGACAGTGAAGTGATTTTCAAGGCTATGAGTCAATAGATAAGTGGATACATTTTCCCATAAACTTTCATAGAGACAGATTTGTTTTTGCAACCAGATGAGTCGCCCCCTTCTGGCCATTAGAAAGAATGCAGGTTTAAGGTACTGCTGTGTTGACATCACTGTTCAGATTCAGAAGTTATTTCCATTTTTTTCAGACACACCCTAATGTAATAAAATAGGATAAAGTTTGCACTGACCACATTCAAGTTCAAATTTAAACTTGTTTCAGCAATTGTAACAAACAATATTTTGAGAGAAGCTGGATTACACTTCTTACATTCTTTCTAATGCCAAGCAGGGGGCAGATCGTCTAAGCCTCAATTGTGAAGAGGTCTGGGAAAATCACTCTGCTTTTTTAAAATTTGATTCATGATGTGTGGAAAACACTTTCTTAACTAGTTTAAAATCTCAGTGCTAAGTTTCAAATCTTCCATCCAACGTGTTGTTGGGTTTGTTGATTAAAGCTCTAATGAAAATGAAATAAATGAGGCATATCTCTGGGCGTGGTAGCCTTCTAACTTGCAAATTGCTTCAGTATTAACTTGAAATCCAAGATCTGAGTATGATCCATCCCTGGCTTGGGACATGTGCTTTTAAAAAACTGAAATAGCACTGGCTAAAATGTAAAACTGAAAGCTTTAAAATGAGAGCCCCCAAGTCAATGGGTGACATCACAGTGGCTGATCAACCTGTTATATGCAGTGTATCATCGTTTTTATTCTTTTCTGATTTGTTTATAATAAGAAAAACATCATATGTGGCCAGACACTTGCTTTATGATGGTGAATTCCATCTTCTGCAGCTCAGACACTACTAAGCAACGTACTGAGAGGAACATGTGCAGACTGATCAGCCTAGTTCATTAAAAAAAAACATCTGGTGTAAAGAACAATCTCCTCTCTACTCTAAAAATAAACTGACACATGTGTTTGTGTCCGTCTGTGTGAGACCTTGAAAGCAGCCAATGAATCAATCTTGGGGTCGTTGAGCCGGATGGCCTGGAAGGTTCCACTGTGACTGTACTGAACCACTCCCACCCTAGTGCCTGGAAACAAGCGTGGCTATCTTATTAACAGGTGTAATTGGGAGTTATCTTGTAAAAATGTGAACTTAAAGCCTGACAGCTGTATCTACCTGTGTCTGACAGAGGGTCTTTGGCAAATGATCCCAGTCTGCTGATGGTGTTGATGACAAAGTTCTTCTCCAGGGTGAAGTTGGTGAGACCCACGGACTCTGAGCTGTCGATAACAAACACGATGTCCAGCGGCCCGCAACGTTTCTCACAGTCTAGAGATGAAAACGCAGCACGCTGTGAAGGTCTGACAATCTGACAGAGCACTTTGATGTCATGAATGTTTAGAGAGAGGCAAACAAACTCACCACAGCAGCCACACGTCTCTCTGATGTAGTTCATGACGTCACATTCCTGCAGGAAAAGACAGGAAACATCATTAAATCATCATCATGTGTTTGTGCTGACATAATAAAAGTGTAGTTGGTTGCAATATTCTCACAGTGAGGCCGGGATCCCCCTCAGGGCCAGGATCTCCCTGCAAAAAGACAATGCGAAATATCACACTGCGAATGCAACTACATAATGGATCTGTCTGTTTGTTTTTTGTGTACTCACATCACGCCCAGCTTCTCCTTTTGGGCCTCTTGATCCAGGTTCACCCTGGGACCCTGGCTCGCCCTGTTGGAAGGAAATAAATCACACAGCTTTCCTTTGAGCGAAAGAGAAACTTCAAACTTCATCCGAGGTGCTACTTACTGGTTGTCCTGGAGTTCCTTTAAGTCCAGGTTCACCCTTTTGACCACAGTCACCTCTGGTGCCACGAGGTCCACGCTTACCCTTGTCTCCTCTGTCACCCTGCGTATTATCGGGGAAAATTTCATCACCTGGCCATGTCAGGCAGAAACTATAAGCAGTGTTAACGCATTGATTCTAAGTTACCGGTTCTCCTCTTGATCCCGTATAGCTAAAGCCAGCTCTTCCATTGTCTCCCTGAGTAGCGATAAAACAAAGAGTCAAAACAAGGAACTGCAGCTATGAGGACAGCTACCACAGAAACAAACGTGGAGAGTCTAACCTTTGGTCCGAGGTTTCCAGGCTCTCCTCTAGGTCCAGCATCACCAGGGTCACCTCTGCTGCCCTAAAATACAAGCAGAGTAAATGGAGAGTGGATTAACATATATGTCTTTAAGGGACTTTTAAATATAGTTCTCAAATGTGACTTTTAACCCACAGTTCTTCCTTTCTCTCCTGGTGGGCCTGCTGGTCCCCTAGGTCCTGGCAAGCCAACATCACCCTGTTCAGAACAAAGAAAAGTGCACATGTAACAAACTCAAGTAGATTAAAGAGCTCAAGACTGTATAGTGTTCAATGACAATGAATCAATGAATGTGACACCGCAGTTCATATTACCTTTGCCCCATCGCTTCCTGTTTCACCGGGAAGTCCCCTCTGGCCCTCAGGCCCACTTTCACCCTGAAACACAGTAAAAAACGCCCTTCAGCCTCCCAGTGGTGGAATAATAAAACCGATTTAAGAGACAAATCATTTGAGGATATGCGAATAATTCATCACGTAGGTGATGTAAAAGTTACAAAAGGTCCCAAAAGTTAGTGGGACCTCAGACGATAAGACCAACCACAGCGCTGTCCTGGATGATTTAGTAGATGTCAGTGTGACATGTAAAAAATATTTACAAAGAAGTCTTGTAAAAATCTTGGAGCCTTTACTGACTGATTGGACTGTCATTTCTGAGGAAACTCTTTTTTCTTAGTCTATCCTTTTCCTTGTTGGCGCAGGTCAGATGCTTATTTGTAAGCAAAAAAACCTCTCAGTTAAGTTGTTGACTGGTCTAAAAGGCTGATTGGTGAGCCACAGCTGAGGCCAGACAGTTCCAGCGGTCGGCTGCTTCGATCTTACTTTGACCACTCGCATCCTTTGCATACTGACTTTGAGTTTCTTCCTTCTTGATGAAGGCTGGCAGTGTTCAAAGTACAAAACAGCATTCATTTCTTTTGCTTATCTGTTGTTTTGTGTTTTGCATGTGTATGTTGATGAGTTGCTCACCTACTGTAGACCAAACCACCTTTAGCTACAAATAAAGGAACCTGAACCTGACATTTACGATTTGTGTCAGTGTGTACATAAAGACATACCTTCTCTCCCTTAGTGCCTGGAGGCCCTTGTGAACCCTTTGGACCATAGTCTCCTCTTCTACCCTACAAACAAAAAAAGGCATGGCAGCTGTGATGCCACATAAAGACAAAGCTCCCAGGAGAACGACTGTTGGCAAATGAAATAGGTGTTCTCACGTTCTCGCCTCGAACACCCGGGACTCCAGGGGTTCCCTAAAAACACACAACACAGCAATCAGCGCCTTGAAGCAGGTGAATGAGTGTGACTTTGTTATTTATGTGGGGATGCATCTTACAGTGTTTCCTTTCGCTCCAGGAATACCAGGTGATCCAGGACTTCCCCTCTCTCCCTGCAGATGAAACACCAGAGTTTAGTCTATCACCTCCAACACTGATCATACTAATGTGACTTCCATGCTGCTATTTTGTCTGTTTGCTGGTACAGAATTTACCTTTGGTCCACCATCTCCGTCTGGGCCAGGCGGACCAGATCTTCCAGGGCGCCCAGGATCTCCCTAAAGACAATTAAGCAGACTTTCATCACCTCTTGAACAAATTATAGATTTTTTAATTTTATTATTTTTACAGCAGGAGCGACCATCTACCTTGTCTCCATCAGATCCGGGAGGACCACGTTCACCGACATCTCCAGGGTGACCGTCAGGACCCTGCAAACCATCAAAAAACAGACCATAAATAGATAGCATGTAATAATAGTTTTGAATAGTAATCAGTGACGTGACATACCCTGTCGCCTGGGTCTCCTTTGCAGCCTGGAGCGCCGATTCGCCCAATTTTACCCTAAAGACAACGACAAATACATCAGAAAAGCATCCCATGATCAAAAACTGGGAGCGTCATTTCAAAATAAGAGCATTTAAGGAAAGACTGCTTGAGTCCTACCTTCTGCCCATCTGTCCCGTTGCGTCCTGGGATGCCAGCCACACCCTAATGAGAACAAAGAGGAAACAGTTAGATGAGAAAAGCAAATCACCTTCCAGCATTAATGATTATTTAGAGATGACGTTAGATTAGACATACCTTTTTCCCCTGAGTTCCAATCTCTCCCTGTAGTCAGACAAAAGTCAGTAGTCATTTTATGTATAAGAAACACAGACGTTACTTTCATTCATTTTCAAACATCTCCATATCCCATTTATAGTTGAAAAAATCCAAAAGCCACACCTTCTCGCCTTTTAGACCTGGTTCTCCCTACAGAGATGGGACAAAGAAAACCATGTGTCATTATAAAGCCTAAATCAATGTTAAGAGTTGCACTGATGAAGATGATGGGTAGGCGAAAGTGTGGCTTCTTACTTTGATACCGGGCTGACCGATTGGACCTTCGATACCGGGGTCTCCTGGGCGACCTCTTTCTCCTTTTATTCCTGGCTCGCCATTGTCTCCTTTAGCTCCCTGCAGTCATCGAGTTCAGACGAGAAAACATTTGTGAGGATCAAAGTCACATAGGTGAAAGTGCTCTAAGCATGAGTGTTTGTGTGTGTGTTAAACTCACTTTTTGTCCCCTGTGGCCTTTTGGACCAGGAGGCCCTTTTGTCTCCAGACAGGACACATTGTAACACTGCGGTTCACAAGACACAAGGAGAGACAGTCAGTGAAGATAAAGGAAGGCAGCTCATAAACTGATCCTCTTCTGATTCTCAGGTGTGTCTTACCTCTACATATGCCAGATGTTTCTGTGAAGACAAAGGACACAAAACGTTAGCAGTAGCTGTCAGTAGCTGTGACTGTTTATGCGTGTGTGTTTGGAAGTTACCATTGTCTTGATGATTCGATCAATAGTTGGGGTATCTATCGTGACTCTGTTCTGGCTGAAGTTCACAGCTGCATATTCATTCCTGTAGAGGGACACTGGAGAGCTGGCGATGTCCCTCAGCCCAGTCTCCTCTATGTTATTCGATGCTGCCACAGCAAAGATATGGATGCCCTTGTCACGAGCCTCCTCTGCTGCCACCTTAATACCCCCACACGGGTTTCCAGTCACATGACCATCAGTGATGACAACAGCAAATCGGAGGGCCCTGGGGTATGAGGGTGAGCTCTGTATCTCCTTTGCCATTTCTCTGAGGGCACAATCGATGTAGGTCCCTTTACCCAAATACCTGATTCCCCTCACACCCTGGAAACATAGAAAATCAGAGGCGTTATCATGAAGGATGAGTTGCAAAATTTGTGTTATTTTATGTTATTTACAGCAGAAACATTAAAGGAGAAGCCTGATAGGATGAGGCTTAAAACCTTCCTGTTTTAAATGTTTACAGTTAACGCTGGATCAGGTGACCGTGAATCCTTGCTTAGTTATGCTGCATTCGTCCGAGGCTGCTGGGGGCTTCCCATGATGCACTGAATGCTTCTTCTTCATTCACTTCTTTTCCCTCACCATGTGTTTATACACCACTCTGCATTTAATCATTAGTTATTATTATTAGTCGACTCTCTTCCACAATGTGGTTTTTGTCTTGCCTACCTCCCCTCAGCCCCAGACAGGGAGGGCAGACGGCTGTCCCTCTCTGAGCCTGGTACTGCTGGAGATTTCTTCCTGTTAAAAGGGAGTTTTTCCTTCCCAGATGCTTTCTCATGGGGTGGGGGTTCTTTATTGTTATTCTCTATATTATTGTAGGGTCTTTACCTTACAATATAAAGCCCAATGAGGTAACAGTTGTTTTGATTTGGTGCTAATACATAAAATGAACTTGAGCTGAATTGATCCGTCTCTGTGCCAATTAGGCCAGCTGGCTATTGGACAAAAAGTGAACAGCTGTATTTGAAAGACTAAAGGTTTTTGAGGTGTGCGTCACTCACTGTGATGAAATCATTCTTGGATGCGAACCGACTGAAAACACTTTGTGTCTGGGAGAAGTGCAGTCCACCGATTTTCCAGGTGATCCGCACGACACCCCTGAGCTCTTCATCATCCAAACGCTGTGCGAACTGCTCCGTGAATATCTACAGCATCAACAACATTACACAACACGGCTGTTACTTTTACTAAATCCAACAATAGGGATCGTTTTAAGCCACAGAGTTGTAAATAAATGAGCAACCTTGATACTCTCCACAAGTGCTCCAGGAGGCGGCTCCTGCAGGGCAATAGTCTCCGACGTGTCTATGGTGAAATACACGTCTATGGGACATTCGTTTTTTTCTAGAAGGGAAAAGATGAGAACACAAAAACACAAACTTAAACCTTCCTTCCTGTTACATCACAGAGTACTTGAATCAGACAAATGTTCCATGTTGTGTTAGTGAAACTGTGGCTGTTCAGTTTTGTCGTGCTCACTGCTGCAATCGGCTTTCTCGGCACGAGTCAGGGCTCCAAAGAGAAGAGCGAACAGGACGAACTCTAACCCCACCATCTTCTTCTTCTCCTGTCACGGCACATTGAAACACACTTTTCAGTTATTGCAGTTGGGAAATGAATTCGGCAACTGCAGGATAAAACAGCAAAGAAAGGCAAAGACATGCATGATGAGATTATTAAGATGAAAAAAAGAAATGATGAGAGAATAGCCTTTAATATATAAAACTATATGAATTTTTTGTATCTAGAGTGCTTTTTCCCTGCTTAAAACTGAACTTGTTTTTTTTTTTCATTTTCTTCATCCGACATCAGTGTCAAACAAACACATGCAGGGACTGTTGTACAGTGAACAAAATGGCTGCCGTGCAGTTATGTAAGAGGTTTGAAAGCATCACATGAGTCAAACTTGTTTTTTGTGTGTCCAAAGACAGAAAAGAAAAGAAAGGCTAAAAAATGTAATAACTGTATGACTGTATGACTGTGTCGCTGTAGAAACTTAACCCGCTGCTAAACTACAACCAGATTCCATCAAAGTTCAATGAGAACAACAAAACTTGTGCAGGAGTGAAGTAGTTCAGTTCAAGCTCAAAGCTACGAGGTATTGACCTGATTATATTCTCAAAACAAAAAACATGAAACCTCAGCCGTGTTCCTGAACATCAGGGTCAGCCTATGGCTGCATCTGGAGACCAGAAAACAGGTTGTTGATTGGATAAAAAGAAAGGCGCACATTTTTATCACAAACCAAATTCTTTCAAAGGTCTCACTCTACTGCCATCAACAGGATTTCTCCACTCTCACATAAAGCCAAAGCTGTCACAGCAAGGTTAACCCATTGAGGGCAGGCTCGGTGACCTTATTTGCATCACACACTTTACAGCTTTGACGGGACATGTCTCTGCCATTCAAAACAAATGTACAGAAACCAGTTGCACATTGGGCCTTGTGGGAGCTCTTATGATCTGGGCAGAAGCAAAATGAAAGAAGCTAAGAACTCTATTGCCCATCACTCCATTTAAACTAGGAACTCCAGCTAAAATAATGTCTACAAGAGCACAGTATGAAAAAACGCACACTAACGGCGCAAAACAGGAGAAAACAGCTTCCATCTGAGAACAAAGAACTTTCAACACAATTTCCAATACTACATGTGTCATTCATATATGTCACTCTACACAGCTCAGCTGTTCGGTGGAGCTCGTATCTGTGAAACAAAATGATTTTTTCCACCAGCGCTGCTGAGTGAGTTTTCATACAGGCCTACATTTAATTTTAATGCTGGAATATCAGCCAGAACCTCGTCAGCGACGCGCTTTGCTGCTGGTCCCTCTAGCGGACAAAAGGCTGTGAGCTGCGCAGGAGTCCTGCAGCTTCTGCAGATGTTCCTACTCCTCTTCCACTGCCCGGGCCACGAGCGAGTGGGAGCTCTCACAGCTTTAGAGCTCAGAGCGGGTGAATATCGTTCAAAAAACCCAAAGAAATATACAATCCACTCTCTGATATTTTTATTTGTTTGTTTAACGTTTGTGAGTTCTCAGAGAAGGTTGACGCTCTGAGAACTCACAAACTTCTCGCCTGAGAGCTAGAGTTCACACAACAGTTTTCGTCGGCTGAGAAAACACCGTCATTTCAGCTCATAGGACTAAATTACAAGACACAGAAGGAGAGAAGAGGGAGACAGGCAGGTTCACGAGAGAGACACGGGGGGAGAGAGCGAGAGCGAAACAGAGAAGCAAAAAGAGTCTGTGCGTAAAAGTGCAGCTTACCCAAACTCTATACAACTTCAGAACTTCGTCAGCAGCTTATCTTTTGATTATCTCCTCATCTCCACAGGGGGGGGAGGGGGAGCCGAGAGAACGAGTGATACAGGAAGAGAGAGTGGGAAATGACACCCTGGATGCGCGTTTGCTTCCCGCAGAAGAACCGTCCGTTCGTCCGCCTGTCCCGGTCCAACCCCAGCTACGAGCTCTTGAGCCCTCCTCCTCCTCCCAGCTCAGCTCAGTGCGCAACGCCGTCCGCTTGGAGGCGCCGTGGCTTCGCTGGAACCCGTGTGTGTGCGCGTGCGTGTACCAAGTGCCTGCCGTGCCAACAGGTGGTCGTTTGCCAGAAAGTGATCGCCAGTGTTTATATGTGCTCTTTATTTCTAATGTATTTACTTATCCTGATATAAAGTCTGCAGTCAACGTGTATTTATGAAGAACTCATATATAAAATAAAGAAATGACCTGATATGGAAATATTCTTATGATTCTGCATTATCATACAAGCTCCGTGTTCTACATCTTTGGCCACTTAAACTAATTAAATTCTCTTTATAGAAGTGTGATGTTATATTTGGGCTGATCAATCTTCTATCTTGTCATATGAATATTCTTCTGGCTCAAAATGACTTGATATCATTGATGAGAGATATATTTCTGATATGCTTGACAGATTATAGGCCAACAAGTCATTTACAGCATTCAATTTTTCCCCCCAAGCACCACTAATTTAGGATGCCAAGACTTGTTTCTGTCTTAAACGCCACAGTTTTTTAAAATCATTGCCATTCCACAGAACACATGGTGAAAACCTGAGGACACGCTGAGCTTTCAGGTCCTCAAGCTAAAGCATTTAGGAGGTATTCACAGTTGATCTCAGACATGTGGCAGGTCAGAATGAAATAAAACAGGATAAAGAGCAGACTCACCCCCCTCCATACTCCTAACCCACCGTCTTGCCTGTTCCTGGTGATCTGCTTGCAATTAGTAGGCCAAGCTCTGTAGTTTATACCTGGTGTAAACACAAGCAGCCTGTGCATGACTCTGCGCACATGTTTACATATTTTGAGGGACTTAAAGCGAACTATTTACCTATTTGTATGTGTTAACGTAGTGGGAGTTCTCCCCTTTTTTAGGGGATTTACCCTGTCTGTGCACATCTGCACAAACACTTAGATTTACAGTGTGAATGGAAAGCATGTCTTAATTTATGTTATCATTGCAGATTATGCTGCTGGAGCTGCCTTTGCAGTGAAGACTAACACTGCCACTAATGTGTAATCCAGCGCAGAACACAGGAGTACAAACAGAGTTGTACATCCTTTACATGGCAGAGCCAACAATGTGGAAATGAAGCGGTCATGTGGATTAACTCACTGTGGAAGGAAGATGCTGTAAAAAATAAAAATGAAAATCTGGAGTTTTATTTTGAAGCTGTACCAAGGATCAACATAAAATACCTTGTCAAGCTTTAGACGAAGCGACACGAATGAACACGTAACGAATCTGTGAAAGGACATTTTTGAAGACGTTGCTCTTAACTTTACCTCGCTTACAGAGGTGTCTGGAGGTGAGGCAGGAATCAGCATTCTGCCGTGTGGGAAGATGAGAAGAAGTGCTGAGACAGAAAAGAGAATGACGAGGAAGAGAAGGCCAGCTGCTGACCAGAGTTATTACTATGTGAAGCTCTTCTCTCTGGATGGGGAAGGGTTTTTCCTTAAAAAGAGAAGAGTGGAGCAATATGTGTGTGTGTGTGCGTGTGATGGAGAGATGGGGGTGTTCTGGTCTCTCTTAAAACTGGGTGACTCATAGGATAGGAATGACCTTCCTCCCGAATAAGAGTAAACCAGTCTCTGCTTCTCTGTGTCTCTCTGACACACACACACACACACACACACACACACACACACACACACACACACACACACACACACACACACACACACAGTTCTTGATCTGTATATGTATATGTGAACAAATGCCAGGATATTACATATAAACATTACACAAGTTAACATTAACCCCCATTTTTTGCTTCTTTGGCAGTCTCTCTCTTCATCCAGATGTGCTTTGTCTATAGACAAAACAGCTGGTAGTTGTTACCTCTTTGCATCTCTCTCTCTCACACACACACACACACACACACACACACACACACACACACACACACACACACACACACACACACACTTAAATTTCTTCTTCTCTGTTTTTTTCTTTTTTAAATTTCTTTCACCCTCTGAGGAGGTTTAATGCATGACCATTTCCAGAGTTCTAGAGAACTATAATAGACAAACACTTTTTTGCCGCTTTTTTGGACACATCTTGCAAAAACATTTTCTACACTTTCAGCGAATTTCCTTGGAAAAAGTCTGTACTGAGGTCTGAGGGCAGGACAGCACAGAAAGGTCCAGTCCCCTCAGAAAACAGAAGGAGCACGGGAAATTGCAGAAAAGCTGCAGAACAGCCAACACAAGCTATGTGCTTGGCACCACTGTGCAAGTGCATAGCTGCATGCATGCAACAGATTTAAAAGGTGCATGCAAATGTAAATCATGCATGGCAACATGCAACTGGACACACCCATGCATATGCGCACAAAAGAACATGCACACTGGGGAAAGATCTGTGGAACAATCTGATAAGCGCAGTTCGGGCTCAGGTCATTTTAAAATTACTTGGACACAGGAAGTTATGTACCAAACAGTACAGAGATACACACACCCCGAACAGAAGTGAATGTCTGGTGCACACATAAATGCTGCACAGTCAAGATCTGAACAAAAAAATCAGGATCACTGGAGGGGAAAACAGCAGATTTAGTGAGGCAGTCTCAAAGAATTTCTCCTGAATTCTGACTAAGGAGATTTAATTTAAAACATGTGTTTCGCATTGAGCAATAGAGAAGAAAATCAAACATTTGTGTGTCTCTGGATACAGAGTGATGAAGAGGCAAATATTTTAAATAAATCATGGACAGTTTTTGCTAAACGAATTCCTTCTCTTGTCCTTTTCTGCAAAGAGGTCAGCAGTCCTGTATCTTGTCTTGCTAGGGGCATTTCAACAGGCTGATACTTGCCGTCACAATGGGTAGCACTTTGGAAGCTGTACAAGACTACTGGCCTGTTACACTGAGAGATGGAACATTAAGCTGTCTTCAAATGGGAAATGGTGACTTTAGCACTTGGACATTTAGCAGTGTAAAACAGGCTGAAAAATTCTCCCCACTCTTTCCTGATTATCTATCAAAATTATTGTTTTATTAAAAAAAAAAATTAAATATTGTTGCAAAGAACAGGTAAAAAAAAAAGACATGTCTACAGCACAGCTAGCAACTCTTGGAGAATTTCCAGAGCTAATGGCAATGCTGCATGCTAATTTGCTAATCTCACAACCGCACTTTTATCTAAGTAAAGTTTCACAATATATTTTTTTAGTTTTGTACGAAATGAAGATTAAACTCTTATGCATGAAATTTTTCATGTTCCACCAGGAAGAGGCCTTAGGACACACCGAGGAGATTACATCTCTCAGTTGGCCAGGGAATTCCTCAGTGTTCCCTCAGATAAGCTTGAGAAGGTGAATGGGGAAGGTCTGTGCTTCTCTGCTTAGGCTTCTGCCCGGATAAGTGGATGAAAATAGATGGATAGGTAGATGGGTTTGTGTGGATGAAAATCCTTTGCACTCAGTAATTACTGATACATAACCCATAGATATCACCAAATGCTGGTTCCTCCTTTGATATGCTCTTCAAGGCCTTTACCATAGTCACCTTCAGTTGTTGTTTGTTTGTGAGTTTTTCTGCATTTGATAAGTGTATTTGGTAATACTGAAGCTTAAAGGAATTTGTTCAATTCTAAACTACCATTCGCTTTAATTTTCTGCCAAAATCTCTGGCGTCTGACGTCAGTTACATGAGTCGCTTACCTTGTCCGTCACTTCCGTCACTTACCTGCTGACACTACCCTGACACTTTGACACTCTTGTTTTTGTCTTCCTTTATTCTTTTCCCTTTTTCTCAGTACTCTCCAGACTCTTTTACATGTTTTCTGGCAAAATCGAATCTGGCCTACCTGTTTTCGAGTGCAGCCAGTAGTTTGCGTCTTGTTGCAAACCCTCTGTATTTCCATTCTTATTTTGTCTCATTTTCATTATTGATTGTATAAGATCTCTATCTCCTTGACAGTGTTGTATACTTGGTAGGATGTTATGAAGACATTTTTCTTAACCGTAGAAATAATTCTCTCAGTTGTCTGCAGTTTAGTTGTTTTCTGTCTTCCAGATGTTTTGGTGTTGCTGAGCTGACCAGTACGTTGCCTGTTGATTTTACCACTCCCAAATATTTTTGCTATCTCCCTGATACGTTTATGATGTTTTTTAAGCCCGATGATGGATTTGCCCGATGATGGATTTGCCCACTGATATTTCTTTGGCCATCATCGTTACTGAGAATGACATTAATCAGCTATCTGCTTAATTGCTTAATTTATTATAACCAGGAATAACAAGGAAACAGGCCTCACCTGTTAGTGGGAAAGGGGAAGATTAAAAAGAGAAAAGAGAAATAAGAGCAAAATACAAACTCTCAGAAAGAGAAGACCGCAATTAAAGAGTAAAAAGAGAGGTACGAAAAAGACGTCTAGCAATCTGAGCTTAAAGCAGCATAGCTAAGGGAGGGTTAAAGGTCACCTGATCCAACCCTAACTGTATGTTTTTATAAAAAAAAAGAAAAGAAAGAAAGCTCTAAGCCTAATCTTAAAAGTAGTGAGAATTAGGGTTAGTCTTCTGGATCCAAATTGGGAATTGGTTCCACAGGCCTGAAAGCTGCAGGCTCTGCCTCTCATTCTACTTTTAAATATGGCCTGTAACTGGTAATGGTATAGCGCTTTACTAGTCCATAAGGACCCCAAAGCGCTTTACACAGTCAGTCATCCACCCATTCATGCACACATTCGCACACTGGTGATGGCAAGCTACATTGTAGCCACAGCCACCCTGGGGCGCACTGACAGAGGCGAGGCTGCCGGACACTGGCGCCACCGGCCACGATCACCCTCCATAGTAAATACCATAGTAACCACAAGTAAGCCAGCAGTCTGACAACAAAGTAGTCAGTTAGGATAATAAGGCACTATGGCATCTTTAAGTTATGATGGGGCCTGATTATTCAAGACTTTGTATATGAGAAGGATTTTAAATTTGATTCCCTGATT